CCATCATGACTGGGTGAAGTAGAATGTGTCTGCCTTTGTCATTAAGACTGGGAGCACTACTCAGTGGCAGGCTGACTTAGCTCCAAAAGAAATGGCCGCCTCTGACATGAGGAACAGACACCATGTGCACAGCTGCTCCTAACATGGAGTACAAACGCTGCTCATCCTGTGTCCCTAGATTAGGAGCCCTTACAGAGTACTATCAGCCAGGCCAGCTGAACCCAGGTTTTTTAGGGAGCTTGTTACTGCTCCCCCTCCTCCTTTTTCATCCGGGCTTGGGACCAGCAAAGGTGGAGTTAGCCAGTGTTTTGAATTTGGTCAGCTCTCTCCAGTTCTAACCAGAAAATATTGTTTGAATGCTTAAAAAAAAAAAAAAAAAATTTAGTTTAAAATTTACAGTAAAAACCTCTCTCTGTAAACAGTATTGGAAAAAATGTAACCATGATTACAGTTTCTATAATTACAATTACAAATAATATTGATTATATATTTTTTCTGTAATTGCAATTACACAAGTAATGATGTGAGTTGCTATATAATTACAATAACAAATATATAATCATGATTACATTTTCTATAATTTCAAAAAAATCATTATAATCACAAATCGACACTTGAAGTTACACCGCATGAGTTTCTTTTCAATGAAAAATCAAAATTTTATTTTAAGGTGAAATATTGACTTTCTCTAACCTTTTTGGATGAGGTATGAGATGGTGAATTATGAAGAGCAATGATGAACGGAAAAATAAAAGTGTCCAGGGATGGGAATCGAACCCACAATGTTCCGCTTACCGGGCAGATGCCATGTCCACTAGGCTACCCTGGACGTATTTTTCCATTCGTAAATGATACATAAAGTAATTTATAATTTATTATAACACTGCGGGTTCGATTCCCATCCCTGGACACTTTTATTTTTCCGTTCATCATTACTCTTCATAATTCATCCTTTCATACCTCATCCAAAATAGTCAATATTTCACCTTTAAATAATATTTTTGTTTTTTCATTGAAAAGAAACTCATGCGGTGTAACTTCAAGTGTCGTTTTGCAATCACAGGCCACAGTGTATTATAATGTATAATCACAAATAATCATGATTGCATTTTCTATAATTACAAAAAAATAATTATAATCACAAATAATCATGTTTTCTATAATTACAATCACAAATAATTATAAAAAGTAATAGCATTGAAAGTTTCAAACTTCTACATTGATTGTAACACTGTAAAGTCTTGGACCCAAGTTATGTTGTTGGTTCAAATGTATAATTCAAGTATAGATGAAAAATTTTCTGGTGGGAAATTAATCAATAAAAGCAAAGGTCGCCTCTCCCGTCAAAATAGACATCAAAACTAGACGCCAACTATTGGCTGTTGCCACAAACCATGGTTTCCAGGTTGACACTTATTGGTTTGTTGAAGCTGGTGTTTTGTCACTGACCTGAGGCTGCTAGTTTGCGCTGACAGTCGAAGATGGTGCTTAATTTTGACAGGAGAGGCAAATTTTGTTTTTTTTAGATATATAATGTTGTTGTTGTTGTCGTGTCCAATGAAGAGTCTCAAATGTCTCCATGCATCTCTATTACAGCAGCAGCAATGTGGAGATATCAGTTTTGCTCATCATTGGAAAATGGGTGCCGTTGCCACGTTAGTCAACTTGGAAACAAACCAGAATTTGGTCAAATATTCCAAGGGTCCAGGGGGGACCGCAGGGAGGTGTGGTCGGACTTCTCCCCCCCTAGATATATAATACAATATATAATTCTATCTAGCTTTGTAGATATATAATACAAAGCTATATAGAATTAATGAGATACTTTTTAGAGCCAGTTTGACAGATTCTTGTAAACACGAAGTGTAACTTGCCGGACATAATCTCATAGTGGCACTTTAGTTGCCTTGGTCTACCCTGTGAATATCACTGAATTGTGTCCTATATCGATGCCTCTTGATGAGGTACAATTTGGATGAAAGGTTAGAAAAACAAGGCAATGAAAATATATAAGTCCAATACAGTAGAAGAGTAATAGTGTAGTTTTTTTAAAACAAGGTAATAAGACCAAATCCAAATAAATAAATAGTGTGTGACATTTCGGTAACAGCGTTGTTACCATCTTCAGACAAAAGTACATTTGTACACATTCAGTACTTTTGTCTGAAGATGGTAACAATGCTGTTACCGAAACGTCACACACTATTTATTTATTTGGATTTGGTCTTATTACCTTGTGTTTATAATCTATAATCCAAATTGTGCCTTATCAGTGTAGATTTTTAAAAATTATCCAATTGTATAATTATACACACACAAGGTCATGGAGATTGAATTCATGGATTGAATTTAGAATATTGGTAGGGTTGGAATATAGGTCCTGTCTTGAGGCTTCCATACATTCCAAGAGGTGGTCTGGCCATCATGGAGACTTATACATAGTGTAAACTGTTTAAACAGCATGAAGGGTTCTCTACTAATGAGAGTGGAATCAACTGTTGACATCCACGACCCATCCCACATTGGACATTTTTTTCTAAAAAAAGAAAAAAAAACTGTTTCAATGGCTCTTATTCTTGCAAAAGTCAAACCCCACCACTGAGTAGAAATAACCAAACTGGGCTCTGGAACATTTGTAAGTGCAAAAGTCAAACTGATTTTTACCTGTGTAGAAATATGGTGCACTTAGAGTAAAGACAGTTGGCAACTACCCACAATGATTATCACGACCTGTACACAGTGTACTTGGCATAAATACCAACAAGAACAAACAATACTAGTGATGAGCCAGGCTGTCCCAAATTTTTTCCACTGCCGTAAGAACTATAGGAAGTTTTTATTAAAATTTTTTATCAAAATCTTAAAATTGCAAGTAAACCCTAACCTCAATTATAGAACAGGTACAAGGTAATAAGATCAAATAAATAAATAAATAGTGTGTGACGTTTCGGAATCAAAATATTCAGTACTTTTGTCTGGTGATGGTAACAACACTGTTACCGAAACGTCACACACTATTTATTTATTTGGATTTGGTCTTATTACCTTGTGTTTATAATCTAGCCGAATGACCCAGGCAACGCCCATGTTTTACCCGATTGAATGTTTTTATTCAAATACTATTTGTTACAATTATAAATTGGCGCCTTAAATAAATGCATATATTAGTTAATAACTATAGCCTATGTGCTTTATCTGTCTATGTACTGTTGGCTTCCGTAGGCGTCTCTTACTGGGAAAAAGAAAGAGAGTATTCCATTTAGTTATTAACTAATATATGCATTTATTTAAGGAGCGACCCGCTCCAACACAACAGTTACAAAAACAACAAAGCGAGTGGGGGGGGGGGGGCAAAGGTGGCGTGATCGTAGCCAACCAATAGGAGAGCGCCATTCCAAAAAAAAGCAAACGTTGACAGAGATGAAAACTGAAGAATTAAGAGATGAAGAACGCATGACGCTCGTAACTGTATATAGAATAATCCAAGAGCAATGTCGAACTGCTTTTCACATGTGTAGACAGGTGGTGCACTTACAGTAAAAGCAGTTGTCTACTTCTACCCACCATGATTATCATGGCCTGTACCATGTGTAGTAGGGATAAGCAAAAAAAAGATCAATAATCCAAATTTTGCCTTACCAATAGGAGAATAAGAATTTACAAAAGGAGTTTTAAAAACCTCTCCTGTGAAACTGGAGCAATCCATATAAATCCACCCTAGATTAAAAGCCATATCTTGGATGTAAAACTGATTTTTTTAAAAATTAAAACCAACATTTTGAGATGAGTAGGTCGCTCATGAATTTCAAGGTGGCCTTGTGGATGCAAGTCATTTTTACAAGGTTTCATTGGAAATATTATTTTCAAAAATGACGTTTCGGTAACAACGTTGTTACCAAAACATCACACACTTTTATTTATTTGGATTTGGCCTTATACCTTATGATATTTTAAAAAATAAAATAATATTTATCTTGGAAATGTATAAAAATTATTTAAATGAATTAGATTTTTTTTTTTTTCACATATATGATAAAATGTGAACTTTGTTTTATCCCATAAAATTAGCTCAACAACTTGTTATTTAGAGATCTTGAAAGACTGAAAAGAAAAACTGATGTGTGTGTTTTATAAAAATAATAAAGTCGAACACATGTTTAGGTAGAGTTATAATTATGTGTAAACAGATTAGATCCATTATTTACTCGGAAAAGGAAAATCGAAAGAAGATTCATTTTCATGGACCAAATAGTAGCTCGACGGTGGCGCTCGAGTGACAGAATTGAGAACTAAAATTGGCTTTATAAAAATGACGTCTAAATTGAATTAAATATAAAATATAGTCAACTTCTAAATTGTATAATCATATTTATGTATTTTAACCTTTCTCCCAAACGTAAATATATTCAAATTTCCCTTTAAACGGCTGAAAATACCAAAGAGATTTAGTAGTTCCTACTTCTGCCACTCGAGCGCCACCGTCGAGCAGATGTTTAGTCCATAAAAGATAAATACTTTAATTTGTTCAAAATACTGATATATTTTTTAATGATTTTAATATTTATATGTAATTATATTTGAGTATAAATACACTTTGTATATAGAGTGTAACTTCAGTTTTTGTTTAATTTTATACCGAAAAACTTTTGATTTTAAGAATAGTTCCAATTTGTTTTCATAGATGGCACTACGTCCTCGTATATTTGAATATGTTTTTTCGTTCTAAATTCTCTATCGTGTTAACACGATTAAAAAATATATATATACAGTATGCGTATTCAACATTAAGTAATAAATTTGAATCTATTTAAAACACAAAGAGGATCGTTGGGATAAACAAAGATTTTCATTTAAATACATCCTAATAAATGGCGTCATATTTACAATGACTCGGCAACGTTTAAACTCCTTGTAGAAGAAAGCAGATATCAACATATGAACAATGTTTTTTTTCTTAAGTGTTGAACTTAAATAGATATTCTAGACACCAGCTAATGCCTACGGCCATACCACGTTGAAAACACCGGTTCTCGTCCGATCACCGAAGTTAAGCAACGTCGGGCCCGGTCAGTACTTGGGAGGGTGAACACCGGGTGCTGTAGGCTCCTACCTTTTTTTTGACGTGACAACGTCTTAAATTAGGTTGCGGCTGGGAGTCACTTATGAAAAAGTGTAACGCCCGGTAACGTTACGATGAGTCATCGAACGAGAGTGCTGCGCGCGCAGCGCTAGAGAATTAGGCGCATTGAATCGGCGCATGCTTGTCTGTCTTTGTCTTTCTCGAACGTTCTTGGCGTTGGAAAAACAAGAAAGCGTCATAATACAAGTTCACACGTGTGGTTAAAGTATCGTCAGCTGTGTCTGTAGTGAAAATGTGGAGTGCTTAGATTCGTCATTTACAACAACTACAACAATAAAGGTAAATAATTGTACACTGATATTTCATTATCGTAAACTATGATTGATTGATTAATTGTTAGATTGACACAAAAGTTGAGAAACTGAGTTTATAGGTTATGTCATACTATTGATAAATGTTGATAGTGTTAAGTAAATTATTAGTTTAAAATTAATTAATTAATTAATTATTATTTTACAAATTTTAAATAGTTTCAAATTTATTTAGCAAAAATTTGAACCTTCGATCTGAATAAATGTTTTGATTTTCGAATTGATTCTTTAAAATTACAAATATTAAGAAAAAGTGGCAGATATAAGAAAACTTTATTTAAACTGTGTTGAGCAAGAATTTTAACATCTAATTTAAGTAAATGTTTTAATTTTCAACTTCATCATTTACAATTACAAATTTTATTTAATTTCAAATTTATTTAGCAAAAATTTGAACCTTCGATCTGAATAAGTGTTTTGATTTTCAAATACCAACGCGGCTGGTGGAGTGGCGATCTATCGTAAATTATCATCGACATCTACGGCGGAAGTGTTCCAAGTTGCGATTACAGACGTAACTCGTGTCATTAAAACCAAGGGTGACATGTGCATGACTGAAGTTACTTGCTTCGCCGCTAATACTAGCTTCAAGTTTATACTCGGTGCTGTATATATTCATCCAGGAGCTAGTATGCAGGATATTGGAATGTTACTATGGCAAGGACTCGGTCCGTACATTCACAACAGCCAGTACGTGCCACCGTTCGTGCAAGTTGATTCTAGTATACCGATTCTTCTGTGTGGTGATTTTAACAAAAACGTAAAGCCTGACAACTCGTTTCTTAAATTCATGAAAAATACGTATAATCTTGATTGCGTATCAAACGTTTCTAAGTCAACTACGTTAAAAGGAACAACTATCGACTTGACTTTCGCAAGACACATTACAGCAGAAACACTTCCTTTCATTTCATATTTCTCCTATCATCGTCCTATCCTCAACAAAATCACTCAAATAGGAATTAGTTAAGTTTAAGTTTACATGTACAATGTTTTAGTAAACAAAATATATTTCTATAGTTAAAATTTGTGCAATTCTTATTTTCATTCAATTCCTTGTTCCTATTGTGCAATTTAATTATATTCATATCAATAAATATTCTACCGTTGTCACGTAAAATCTTCGCCCGTAAAACCGACTTTACAGGCAACCATTGTTTTTTTTTTTTTTTTTTAATTTATGATTTCTATCTAATAGAGTAAATTCTTTTTTATTTACAATATTTTTATGCATTTCGGCCAATTTTTATATTTTATTTCTCTATTACTTTTTACATAGAATTCTTAATATTTAAATACACCCCAGAACAATAAACATTTTATTATTACCAATTTAAGGAGCTGAAGAGAGAAGATAGTGTGTGTGTTAATTAAGTGATTTATACACAGTTATTTACACAGATAATTTATTCCCCTGAGGAAGATAACAATAATTCACTGAAATGACAGGAAATAAATAATAGAGTCACAAATGGCCTCACCTACTTATTTATTTTATAACAATTTCAATATGACATAGTTTTCCTGAACACTATACTGAACACTGAAAATATTTTATTCCTATCTGTCTTAGGTCATTCCTGTCCAAGGTTTGTCTTGGAATGGTCACCACTACCATCCTTACTGGTCACGTTCTTGTAGATCTCTGGCATAGAGATCCAACATGTCCTCACTGCCGGGAAGAACCACAGACTGTAGATCTCTTCTTCTCTCCAGCTATTGTACTACACAGGCTACAAACACTACTTGTAGTACAAGTCCTGCCTCTACTTCCTGACTTGTCCTGGAACTACCTGGTTTACCGCAGCTCTCCCCATGACTAGAACTGTGGCAGCCGGGTAGTTGACGATTTTCACTCCAGAAACCCGGGGTACCTCTATTTTCTCTATTGGAGATCTTGAAGAAAAACTGATGTTTTCTGAAAAAAATAATGCCAAACATTTTTATCCGAGTTACAATCATGGAAAACGCACTATAAAAGAAATTAATTCAATCAGAAACATCTTTTTTAACATAAAAGTAAAATCGAAAGAAGTTCGTTTTTATGAACCAAATAGTAGCTCGACGGTGGCGCTTGAGTGGCAGAATTGAGAACTAAAATTGGCTTTATAAAAATGACGTCTGAATTGAATTGAAATTTAAATATAGTCAACTTAATAATTGTATAATCATATTTATGTATATAATGTATCCCCCAAACACGTAAATACATTCAAATTTCGCTTTAAACGGCTCAAAAATACCAAAGGAAATTTAGTTCCTACTTCTGCCACTCGAGCGCCACCGTCGAGCTGATGTTTAGTCCATAAAAGATGAATACTTTAATTTTCCACAATGCTGATATCTTTTTATGAAAAAAAATTGTATATGTGTGATTATAGTTTATTTGAATATAAACAAACTTTTTATATAGAGTCAACTTCAGTTTTTTTTTTTTTTTTATAACAAAAACATTTGATTTATAGAATAGTTCCAATTTGTTTTCATAGATGGCACTACGTCCTCGCATATTTGAATATGTTTTATCGTTCTCAATTCTCTATCGTGTTAACACGATTTTAAAAAATAAATATACAGTATGCGTATTCAAAATTAAGTAATAAATTTGAATCTATTTAAAACAAAGAGGATCGTTGGAATAAACAAAGATTTTCATTTAAATACATCTTAATAAATGGCGTCATATTTACAATGACTCGGCAACGTTTAAACTCCTTGTAGAAGAAAGCAGATATCAACATATGAACAATGTTTTTTTTTTTCAAGTGTTGAACTTAAATAGATATTCTAGACATGGGCTAATGCCTACGGCCATACCACGTTGAAAACACCGGTTCTCGTCCGATCACCGAAGTTAAGCAACGTCGGGCCCGGTCAGTACTTGGGAGGGTGACCACCTGGGAACACCGGGTGCTGTAGGCTCCTACCATTTTTTTTTTTTTTTTTTAATTTATGATTTCTATCTAATAGAGTAAATTCTTTTTTATTTACAATATTTTTATGCATTTCGGCCAATTTTTATATTTTATTTCTCTATTACTTTTTACATAGAATTCTTAATATTTAAATACACCCCAGAACAATAAACATTTTATTATTACCAATTTAAGGAGCTGAAGAGAGAAGATAGTGTGTGTGTTAATTAAGTGATTTATACACAGTTATTTACACAGATAATTTATTCCCCTGAGGAAGATAACAATAATTCACTGAAATGACAGGAAATAAATAATAGAGTCACAAATGGCCTCACCTACTTATTTATTTTATAACAATTTCAATATGACATAGTTTTCCTGAACACTATACTGAACACTGAAAATATTTTATTCCTATCTGTCTTAGGTCATTCCTGTCCAAGGTTTGTCTTGGAATGGTCACCACTACCATCCTTACTGGTCACGTTCTTGTAGATCTCTGGCATAGAGATCCAACATGTCCTCACTGCCGGGAAGAACCACAGACTGTAGATCTCTTCTTCTCTCCAGCTATTGTACTACACAGGCTACAAACACTACTTGTAGTACAAGTCCTGCCTCTACTTCCTGACTTGTCCTGGAACTACCTGGTTTACCGCAGCTCTCCCCATGACTAGAACTGTGGCAGCCGGGTAGTTGACGATTTTCACTCCAGAAACCCGGGGTACCTCTATTTTCTCTATTGGAGATCTTGAAGAAAAACTGATGTTTTCTGAAAAAAATAATGCCAAACATTTTTATCCGAGTTACAATCATGGAAAACGCACTATAAAAGAAATTAATTCAATCAGAAACATCTTTTTTAACATAAAAGTAAAATCGAAAGAAGTTCGTTTTTATGAACCAAATAGTAGCTCGACGGTGGCGCTTGAGTGGCAGAATTGAGAACTAAAATTGGCTTTATAAAAATGACGTCTGAATTGAATTGAAATTTAAATATAGTCAACTTAATAATTGTATAATCATATTTATGTATATAATGTATCCCCCAAACACGTAAATACATTCAAATTTCGCTTTAAACGGCTCAAAAATACCAAAGGAAATTTAGTTCCTACTTCTGCCACTCGAGCGCCACCGTCGAGCTGATGTTTAGTCCATAAAAGATGAATACTTTAATTTTCCACAATGCTGATATCTTTTTATGAAAAAAAATTGTATATGTGTGATTATAGTTTATTTGAATATAAACAAACTTTTTATATAGAGTCAACTTCAGTTTTTGTTTTTTTTTTATAACAAAAACATTTGATTTATAGAATAGTTCCAATTTGTTTTCATAGATGGCACTACGTCCTCGCATATTTGAATATGTTTTATCGTTCTCAATTCTCTATCGTGTTAACACGATTTTAAAAAATAAATATACAGTATGCGTATTCAAAATTAAGTAATAAATTTGAATCTATTTAAAACAAAGAGGATCGTTGGAATAAACAAAGATTTTCATTTAAATACATCTTAATAAATGGCGTCATATTTACAATGACTCGGCAACGTTTAAACTCCTTGTAGAAGAAAGCAGATATCAACATATGAACAATGTTTTTTTTTTTCAAGTGTTGAACTTAAATAGATATTCTAGACATGGGCTAATGCCTACGGCCATACCACGTTGAAAACACCGGTTCTCGTCCGATCACCGAAGTTAAGCAACGTCGGGCCCGGTCAGTACT